CTCTGAAGCTGCGGCTGATACTACTTAAATGGAATATTCGTGCAATTCTGAAGGAAAAGACAACCCTCTTCACAAGCTTTCCCACATAGCATGAAAAAAGCAACAAAAAGGAGTGCTCCAGAATTTACAGCATAAACTGCAAGGACAGTAAACAAAAATACATTGGAGAGAATGGAAGGACTATCAACACTGATCGGATACTGGAAATCACGAATACTATGGCAGAGCACGTTCCACAAGATCTTCCTAATGCTACGATTAAGTTATGAAAAAGAGGTCTAACCAACACTAATCAAGGTATGTTAAACATTTATAGCATTTAGAGTTCGGCACACACGAGACCAGGACATAGGAAGGTCATAGAATTGACTTTATTGATAGAAGAGCAAGAGATGCGACGGAGATCATAGAATGCTGGCTATTAGTGGATGAGTCTGATCATAGACGTGGTCCGTGAAGCAAATGCTTGACCATAATATTTACTAAGTCCACATGCCACACAATCATAAGGGAATAGGCAGCGTCAAGTTAGGTAGCAAATCCACTTCGGAATCCAGACTCTAGAGGATTTTTCAGTGAGACTGGTGTTTACGTGCTATCAAAAGCTTAAAGCAGAATGTATAACTTAACGCTTCGATTAGCACCAATATGATGGCAGCGATTGAGTGAAATCATCGAAGCAGATAGATAAGAGATGGATCCTAAGGAGCAGGAGGAAGAGGGTTGCGGACAAAACTTCAGTTTTGGACCAGCACTCCCAGCACAGTGGGAGGGATGTGGGAACCAATTAAATCCGATCAAAAGGGTACACATCAACTAGGTCGCAAGTGTGAAAGTGAAGGGGTGTTACGAGGATATAGGATAGGTGTATACATTCGGACAGGAGGTATACCACAATTATTCAGAAGCCAATTTGTCAGAGAATTGACTTCAATTATCTCTTTGAGTTCTGGTATGATGCTAAGAATTACAAGGCTCAATGACGATGCCTGTGAAACGTCTAGAAATGCACCAAGTCCGCGATCAGACTCTGGAAATTACAATGTATACTATGGATACCACACAATGGTTATTCCTCTAGGTCTTCCTGCCAATATGAACATATTGTGAAAGCTAGGTCAAAAAACTTCTACACAACGAAAGGAGACTGCGACCATACTAAAGGCCACACCACTTTGGTCTTCATATTTTCGATAAATACGAAGGTCGCCTTAATATTGCTTCGTCTATTTTAACTTAGTTGCAGTCCTAGTGAACATTAAGGTAGAAGTCGTATTAGGAAAGACTAATAACAATAAGTGGAATTGAAAATATTTAAAAGGTTGAAAAATAATTAAGCAAGAAACAGATATAACTATCATAGGAAACGATCAGCAAGGATTAATATGTGAAATAAATACTTTTACGATGAAAAATAAAACAACTATCATAAAAAAGGCATTATGTAAAAACTATGAATATCTATGAAGATTATATGAATTATAATAGACTGAAACTCTTATTTATAATATCGAAACGTATTTCATTGACAAAATTAGTTGTTCGTTTATAATAGGGTTTTCGAGACTATATGAGGTGAATTCAAACTATTTCACTCAAGATGATAAGGAGACTTCGAAGATATGAAGAAATACTGGATTTCGAAGAATCCCTTAGTGATATATTGTGGCATGACTCTCTATTCCGAAGGTAAAGTTGATTCGAATGAATTCGGTCCCACCGAAAACCGAGATCGCGGAACGATGAGCCGAGGACTTCTTCGCACAATTCAACAGTCTTCCCTACTCTACAATCCTCTTGCTCGGTGGTACGCCTCGTTCCCCACTCTCTAATCCTATCCAGCAGCCACAAGTAGTTTCCACTTAACTTCCTATATTCATTCCTTCAATTCAGGGTGTTGGCTGTTTTGTTGACTTACCGTATTTCTCCATGTATAAGCCACCCTTTTTTTCCAAAATTTCAAAGCCCAAAATGTAGGGGGC